CCCCGTCGACACCTTTTTTGGTAAAAAAAACTTTTCCGGACATCACAATTGCTTTCGTAGCACTTTTCCCGATTTCCGTATCACTTTTCCCGATGCTTCACCACAAAGATTCCGACAACATTGACAATTTTTCCGACGGGTCTTAACTTGAAGCTATATAATCGACGATTCCCTTTTTTATTGCTGCGCAGCGAGCGAGCGAAGCAGCATTCTAATATGCGCTGAGAGGGGGTTTTGAAGTAAATTTTATTTAGCGCATTGTATTGTGGTCGTGTGCGCTTGCTATGCGCAGAACACAAAATAACGTACGACATACAATATTTGAGGCGTATTTGAAGGATATCATTTATTAGTATTTTTGCACAATAATAACAAATCCTACAAGGTGATTGGTCAAATTTGACGTATTAATCTGTTATATTCACCTACAGGTGAATATAACAAAATCGAAATTTTCAAAATGGCGGCTAGCCGTTTTGTTGAACGGTTAGTGATAAAGAAATAAGCGAAATTAAAATGAATTCAGACAAGAAAAACACAAAAAAACTTGTGCAAAAATACTAAAACAATTATTCGCCTCAAGCTCGGTGATTATCGGGGAATATTCGCCCCGACTTCGTCTCGACGAATATTCCCCGATAATCATCTCCCCTTCGGCGAATAATTGCTAATTGTTTTGCTTGCTGGCTTCGACTTGTAAATTATTTTGACTCAGGCACTCGGCGTAAGGTTTAGTAAAGTTTTAAGCCCTGTAAAGGCCATAATTTAGTATATAAAATAACGTGACTGCACTTCGTGCGTTGTTCACTCAATGGACTTTGACCACTGTAAGTTCTATATTTTAATCTTTATAAAGTTTTGGTTTCTTCGTTTAATACTGTGTAAGGGAAGCCTCACATATCGATTTTTTCCACGAGAAACGTCATATGTTCGTTTGGGGGTGGGGGGGTTGGCAGCTGTGACGTTTCTCTGTAAACATCATGGAAAAATTCGATAGTTTTTATCTTTGCAGAATATAAAAAAGAAAACAATTTGATACAAACAGCAGTCTATATATTCGTAATACCATACCTGTTCTATACCTATACATTTATATTATTACGCCTTCCTTGCATTGAAAACACTCAAATTTAAAAAAAAAAACGCGCTAAAATTATCAATATTTCATGCAAAAAAAGTTGTTTTGAGAAACGTTGGAAATTTTGAAGTTCATACTTATATTAATAAAAAAGAGTATGTCAGCAGAAGATGACATATTCCTCGCGGAAGCATCGCCAATAGCCGACCGAAAAAATAGTAGAAAATTACCTTGTGTGTACTATAAGAACAAAATATCGATAACTATGTGTGACGTTTCTAAGGGGGGGATGGGGGGGGGGTCTCCAGAGAAACGAACATATGACGTTTCTCGTGGACAAAATATGTGAGGCTTCCCTAACCGAATGTGGTAAATGTGCCTAGCAGTATTAGACTTAATAATATGAAATCAGATAGAAAAACTTGTCTTGTATAATTCACCTGTACGTCTTAAGAATGCTTTGTTGTTTGTATTTATACGTGTACTATAGCAGCGCGTATTAAATTCAACAAATTCCACTTAATCTTGAAAATATTATATATTCTTGCTTATGCTTTAGTGAATATTACTTCCATAACATTAACATTAACATTAACGTTAACACGCCTATCTGTAATCTGTGATTGCTCTTGAACCCGTGCATGGTCTTGGCAACAAATACAAATGCATTGCTTTTTCTCAGACACTCATGGGCATTGGGCATGGCATGAATCGATTGGTTAGCACTATTTTCCATCCAGCAAACTGACCTGACGTAATTTTCGGAAGATGGAAGAGGTGTTAAATGGCTATGTAACTAACCCAAACCCTACCCCTACTCTAACCCCTAACCTCAACCCTAACTATAACCCTGACCGAATTAACAAATAAATCCAAAAAGAAAGGACTTTACAAAATCGATAGGGCGGTTTGCTGGATGGAAAAAGTGAAAACCGAAACGATTCCGTATTCCTTAAGCTCCGACCACAGTGCTCACAAGTCGCCGGCTCGCTGCGAGTAATAACTGCATGCTTTATGTAATTTGTACTATTTTTAGTTCTATTTGCTCTTGATGCCCGCAGCAATCCCTACCTTGCAGGTACCCTTACTAGTACAATACATTTTATCAGGGGGGCCAAAATTTTGCCAGGGGGAGGGCAAAATCTTGCCAGGGGGGGGCGGGCCCCCAGCCCTGGCTACGCCTCTGGCTTTGAAAATCTGCTCACGCGGACGTGACGGGCGTCAAAAAAAATGAACGCTTCGCCTACGCGGGCCAAGCGAACGTTAATGGAAAACGGCCTTAAGGTCCATAATCGACCCGCTCCCATGCATGATGGTCATCACACTTGAAACATACCATGCATCTAATATACTTCAACGAGTACAATGCCTTAATCTGAATTGGAAGATATGATACTCAGTGGTCTAGATCTCAATGTTATTATGACTTACCAGCTGAAAGAATCTTTCTTTTCAACATAACCTTTACATTACATTTGTTCGTCTGCTTAATTCCGTCTTCAGGACTTGTATTACCTCATCGAAATATCTGGATGTAAAATATATGTTATGTTAAGCCTGCAGCACACGAGAGCTATCTGCGGAGCCAAAAGTTACTCGTGCCTGTTAGCTCAGCAGATAGCTCACCGATCAAACATGTTTGATACGTGAGAAAAGGTTGCATGAGGCAAAAAACTCAGTAAAATGTACGCGCACACGGTGAGCTATCGGCTGAGCTAACAGGCACGAGTAACTTTTTGCTCAGCAGATAGCTCTCGTGTGCTGCAGGCTTTAGTAGCTGCTATATTATAGTTAACAAAACTAAAATACGACTACAGTATATATCTTGATCAATGGAAACCTTGAAATCGGCTAAGAATTCTTCATTTTAAATTTAAAATCCACAACTAGGAGACAAATATATAATTCATGAATTAAACGAATCACTATTGTCAAACAATTAATACATAAGTTTTATCATATGTATTTTGGTCAGCGCAAGTTTTAGCATAATATTATATTTGCCAGCTCTCTTGATCGTCACCACACTTGAACATATCATCTATGATTCAACCAGTACAATACCATAATCTGAATTATAAGAAATGATACTAGTCTAGATCTTAATGTTATTATATGACTTACCAAACTGTAAGAATCCTTCGCTTCGACACACCCTTTTTGCGTTTGATGTTCGTCTATCTTCCGTCTTTTATTTAGGACTAGCTATTCCTTCATCGAAAAATCTGCATGTAAAATATATATATGTTAGAACTGGTTAATGTTTCTGGAATATAGGCGGACTTACTGTTATTATTACATGCCCTTTACTTAATGCCAATATTACAAACAGAAAGTGCCACGACAAATCGTGTTCACATACAGTGATGATACGTTGAATATATAAATATAGTCATCTGTATACTGATCAATGAAAACTATGAAACCAGATTATAAATTCAAAATCCACAACTAGAAGACAAATACATGTATTGTACCTTAAAACTGTTCACTTTGTTGATTCTCAATCAAGAAACTTCTACTTTCATTTCGCTGTATTTGTCTACTGCGTTATGCCACGTACAGCTTTAGCATAAAAATATGTCACTCTGTGAATATGATGTAAGTAAATTAAATGCTTGATAAATCTTCTATTGAATTGCTTTCAATGCAGGCAAATATTTAACATAGTTTCCCACTGTTTCCCATAACAACATAGAATAGCTTATAGCCAGGGCACAGTCGGAGTAAAGTTAATTAAAGTAAAACAAGAGAGGTGCACGAGGTAGTGTGTAGAACAAGGCGGACAATGGACAACATGGAAATTTTTTTCATGCCATTAACGAACTGCATGGTAAAATTTGATACTGACTAGCCTGAATAAGCACAGATAAGCATAGGCGTACGGGAGCAAGAAAATTTGCCCGACGTTCGTGAAATTGCCTGACCGCTCTACCCTTCAATCGCTTTAAAGTACAATTTGTTCGACTTTTACATATACATGCTGCCGACCCCTTCTCGTGCCCAGGCGTCTCTTTGTAAAAAAAACAGCGATGCGCATATGGCGAGTTTACATGAAGTGTTGTAGTCACTGTAGTGGCGAGAGAAGGGGGTGATGGGAAGAGTGCACGCATCCTTCCCAACAGTCCCTTCGCGCGTCGCCTGCCTGCCTGAATACTTCATGTATTATAATTATTTAATGCGACTAGGCACGAGGCAGTAGGCCAGCCAGCCAGCCAGCCAGCAAGCAGGCAAGCAAGCAAGCAAGCATACACGCTTTGAGAAGGATTGTAATGCACACATTTTCCGTACCATAGGGTCGGTGTCTTGTGACCAGGAGTTCGACACTCTCAAAACACATATGGAAAAGCTTGGGCTTTCATTGCCATTGGACTACTTCATGTTGTTTAAAGCCCTGATACAGCCATGAAGGAGAACTGCATATTCGTAATGAGGCCGATGGAATTAAATTTAAAAATGTATGACAATGTTGAGTTAAGTAAATGCCATATTTGTAGAATTTCTATTCATTTTGAAAATTGTACATGCAACTCAGGTATGTTGGTTTCACATTAATTCCGGCAATAAAACATCGATTTATTTTGCAATAGCAACAGTATTTTCAGTCGATGAAAGATTGAATTTTCCATTCCCACTCGGCTGTCGAGGAAAGTTCATTCTTTCACCTCATGAAATTATTTTTACAGTCACACTCATAAACATTCAATGTTTGTATATATACCACACGCTTTAAACCCGAAAATGAACACTATACTTGTTAATATTCTAAACGATCCTTACTCTTCATGAAATACTACGCAAAACATTCCATATTACTTCAGTATATATTCTTTAATAACAAAAATCATTCTATACCTTAACTACAATATAGAAGACTAAATAACCTTAAATCCCGAAAATATTCAGACTGATACAAATTTTAATATATGGCGTAGAAACAATCTTAGAAATCTCTATTCCTTGTCTTTATCTTTGCTAGATTTATCCTTCTTGCTAGATTTCGTAGACGGGGGGTTAGGCTGACCAAGCTCAGCACGACGAAGACGTTTCTTCATCTCCAGCGGCATTTTCTCGTAACATTTCCTGCACAGAGGTTTCATGTCAAATTCGTGGAATTTACTCCTACAAAAATAAATATTTGAGAAAATATCGAGCTGGTCAAAGGCGAACAAGATTTTATAAGCAGTTTTATTTGCTCGTCGGTGTAGCCAAATTTGCCATGCTAACAAGTGGGTGGGGGGGTGGGGGGTGGGGGGTGGTAGATACCACTACGTGAGGATGTGCACCCCCTGCAAACCTACGCTAAATCTGCCCCTGAGATTTTGTGGTCATGCACTACTGCATCATGGTTTAATGTCTGTACTTAGCAAGGGCCCAGATATTTAGTTTTCAGTCACATCTTAAAACGTACGTTCTCTATAATCAATGCTGGTAATTTATTGGGGATCGAGTATCATCGAAATAAAACTAACCTTAGTGTGAGCTGTGTATCACAACCAAAACATGTAAAATGATTTTCACACCAAAACTTCTCAAGCGCATTGACAGCTACAAATAAAATAAATGATATTACTATACACTGAAGAAATAAAGAATATGTCACAAACAGTTTGCCACTTCGCCCCTGCTACAGAACTTTCAAACGTTGCAGCAACGTGTCAGGACAAGCGAAGTAATTTTTTGCTAAACGACCGTTAAAATGGTATTTCCGCAATAATATTTACTGTAATTGGCAAGTAAAAAAGTCAGTGGGGGATACTAGGGAAATTCTTTAACAAAGCTGTAACAATAATGTACAACCATGAATGCATTGTTAGGCAAAAACAAATTAAGCTAAATATTGCATTAACTTTCAGGAAAATAAGGTTAAAGAACAAAGATTTCCAGCTACAAAAGTTGGTCATATGTTGGCGAACGTAATTGGTGCTTTATTACTTATTACTAGGCGTAACCACAGGTTAAAAAGTGCGACCTGGAGACTTTAGTCACTAATGACAACGCGCCGGCTCACGCTGTTTTGGCCAGATAGTTGGTGATCATCCTTTACTTTTGCCAAAAGTCGGTCGCTCGGTCGGTCGGTCGGTCGGTCGGGGTTTTCTATTTTTTTATATAACGATTTGCGTCAAATAAACATGCACATAACAAGGTACTTTATTTCATATTATCTATTGATATATTCAAAACAGTAACAACTTTTCAAGTTTATGCAAAGGAGTGGCGATAATATATGGGCCAATATTGCTCATTATATAATAAAAGTCAGCCCATTTACACTGATCCAATTTAGATAAATTTTTCAAAATATTAACTTGACTGATTGGTATCCAATTACGTCACTTGCTACAAATTACATAACAAATAGTAATACATTTGTGATTATATTGTCGCTAGTGCTAGGGCGCAAAGTCGCCTTCTATGAATAGCATGACGTGTCAACAACAATACCGATTGACAAAGCGCAATTTAAAGATAAATATTAAAGCCCGGCACATGAC